GGCATGTGGGTTTGTGTCCCGGCTGCCTGCTAAAGAAGTTGGAGCATCGCACACTTATAAAAAAAAGCAATAAACATAAACATAACGAGAAAAAACAAACGTAGAGTACAGTTTTTGAAGGGGCAGTAGAACTAGCTGCGGTTCAAGAATAGAGTGTGTATGTGCGTGTGTATGTATGTGTGTGTGTCTGTGTGTCTGTCTGTGTGTGTCACAACCACTAGAGGATGAAGGATGTAAGTTTGGAAAGGTGGGAAATGAAATACAAGCTTGGGGCCAAAAAAGTTACGGCGCTGGGTTTAGGAAGGACGGCTGGCGAATGAAGGGTTGCGGTGACGGTGTTGCATGGGTACCTCCAGTGACACCCTAGAGTGGCCCGAGTGCAAGTGTGTACCGAGGAGAGTTGCAAAGGAGAGGGCTGTTGCTGCTACTAGGTTCGGTTGGTTGATTCCATTGCAGCGAACAAGTTTCAAATATATTTCAAAATATACTATAATGCGCGTGACACGTCCGTAGTCGATGTGAATGTGCCAGCGCAGACATGTCGTACCGTGTCGTACGAAGTCGTACCCGTAAACAAGATGCGAGGTCCGAGCACCAGGCCCTCCTCCACAGCTTGAGCCAGTCCGAAATCCGCACCGCCTGCCGAACGAGAAGAAACGCGGGCTACGTAGGAATACGCGTTTGAATGGACATGTAGGAATGGGAGAATGGCATAGCGTGTGTGTGTTCCTTACACCTTCTAGAGTTGCGTTATACTCTCCAAAGGTGTAACCTGGGGGGGGGTGGCCCGTACATACATACATACATACATACATACATACCTGGGAGCCATGAGGTGAGGTGAGGGGGGGGGTACCACCCAACCTAGGGCCCTGGGGGGGTCGAGAAGGCTGTGTGTCGCCAGAGGAAGATAGATACTGTGAACACGCATAAACACATACTGTACTGATATGTTTGGTTGTGTAATAAAATATTGAATCAATTTGACAAGAAATGGAAGTGCTAGGGTTGGTGTGTAGGACGAGAACGAGGAGCAGGAGGAGGAGTACGGGTGGGAGGAGTACAAGCCGGAGGAGGACATACGTCCGGAATAAAGGCAAGGCAAGCCTAAGCCAGGGAGAAGGAAGAGGACGGCTGAACGTGCCTCTACGGCCTAATGCACTGTACGGCATGTCGTACGCACCGTCAGTACATCCCGCGCACCTGCGTCCCGTACAGTGGTAAACCCTCGCGCCAGCATGCCGGCCAGGATGTGCGCCGCCTTTGTCGACACGTACGACTCCGGCAGCGACATAAGGCCCGCCAGGTTAGCAGTGACTGCCGTACAGTGTACGTGAGCGTCGCAAAGACCTTGTGAACGAGCGGCAGCAGCCGGGGGACCCGGGGAAAGTGAGTTGCGTGCGATGGCACGAGGAATGAAGGCAGATGACATAACAAAACACACGACACGCGATACGACACGATGGGGCACGGCGCTACAATCCCCCCAGTACGGCACTAACGAAAACTTAAGGACGAGCCTCAGTCCATCTTTTGTCCCCCATTATTCAACCCCATCACGTGCGCCGGAAACATCTTTCCGGAATTTGGGCCAATTTTTAGGCTTTACACCGTCGAAAGGATTGAGTAACCCGATGCTTATCACCATTTGACTCCTCCTGCCGTTCGGTTGAAACCCAACCGAACCCAACCGAATTCAACAAACCCAACCAAAAACGCACCAGGCATCAATACAGCGCCCCCACAGTCCACCTCCACTGCTGTAGGAGGATGAGTTCTAAATCCCTCAATCGGCGCAATTCCCGCCTCAGCCTCCGCATCTGCTGACTCCGCATCTGCTGACTCCGCATCTGCTGACTCCGCATCTGCTGACTCCGCATCTGCTGACTCCGCATCTGCTGACTCCGCATCTGCTGACTCCGCATCTGCTGACTTCGCATCTGCTGACTCCGCATCTGCTGACTCCGCATCTGCTGACTCCGCCGCCGCCACCATCACCGTCGTGGTGGCCCCCGCATGACCCATGGGTCGGACCTCCCGAATGAGCCCTCCCTGGAGCAAAACACTTTGCAAGCCCTCTAGGTAGTTCCCTGCCGCAACATCCAGGACTCGGCAGTTGGTCAGAAGCAGAGAGAACTCCTGTGGCGGACTGGACGCCGCTGCCGCCGGCTGCAAGGACATAGCGGGATCTGGTCCGCCGGTCGCCGCCGCGTCTACCGCTGCAGGTGTTGGGGGCATCTGTGAATCACTGTGGAGACGCGGCTTTTTAGGTGCAGGTGGGCTGGACCCGGAGGCGGCAGAGGGGAAGGAGTGCGCACGCAGACGCTGGAGAGCCCGCCTAGCCGCACAGGCGCGCGCAAAGGAGCTGAAACATAGTTCTTCTGGCATGATATTGGTGATGTCGTCGTTATCGGCACCTTTGGGCTGGTCACCTTCCGTTGAGGAGAACGGCAAAGTAGGCCATTCGTTCGGCAGCCGGAGCTGCAACATGACTCCGATAATAGCTGTTGTCTCCTGATTTAATAACGGAATGAACTTCTTATGAAAGGGCTCTTTTCTAAAAAGCAACTTGAGGAAATGCGTGAAATCGGTACGATTCTTGCGATTTGAGACGGGACATGAAATTAGACACCAGCTCCAGTACATGTCAAAGCCCCAAAGGAGGTGGCTATGAAAGCCTTGGAAATTGTGATTTCGGAAGAGGCAACGGAATACTGGACGAGGCTGTACATTCTTCTAGCCAGCGTGCAGCATCTCGTGGTCCTGCCAGCTTGTAATGATGCTTGGTCCCTATAGGGTACTGCGTCGTATGCTAACTAACTCAAGGAGTCAGAAGTCACAATTTGGTTGGTATTGAAGAATACCGTTTTTAGGTAAGATCAATATTTTAACTGAGTTGGACGCTAGCGCCATAAGGCCCTATCGTACAAGAAACGCCTTTGGCGTTAGTTAGAGAAGACTCCACTCGGACGTCCTTACATTCTCCCCCTCTTGAATGCGAACGCGTCCTCGGCGCGCCAGTGTAGATTGGGAAGGGGCCTCTTAGGGCAAAGGGTACACCCTTGGCATACAACTTGGCGTGATAGGCTTCGACCGCTTTGGGGCAGCCTCGGCAGCAGTCTTGGGCCGTCTCCCAGAAGTCGTACTCGGGGCCGTGGTTTTGCCAGCGGACCAAGTACTCGACGAAGGTGGCGGCGGCCAGAGGGCCCCCCTAGAGCACGGTGTGCATGGATTTCTTCGGCGAACCACATAGGGTCGCCTTCCACAGAGGGGACCACTGGTGGGGGTGGTGTGTTGCTGCTTTGTTTAAATTTTGTTCCAGCAGTGACACGTGAGGAAAAGACATTGTTTGCATGCACAATAATGCACAATGCCTCTGGGAGTTGCAGGCGGACTGCAGACTCGCCCACCATGCCTAGGATGGGGACGGGTCCCATGAACCGAGGCATGGACTTGCCACACGTCCTTTGGCATTAGGTGCGTTCCCTGGCATTATGTTTTTAGGATGTCCTGCTCAACTCTAAGAATATAATGTTAGGGAAAGAAATTAATGCTAAAGGACGTGTGGAAAGTTTATGATTCGGTTCATAACCACTGAACGACTTGCAGGAGTGCGTGATCTGGAGATACATCCCGAACCTGTCTTCGCGTGCAGGTGGTAACGCGGTATCCAGTAGCGCACTTCTGAGATCAATTTCAAGAAAGGTTGGCATGCTTACCCGCTAGATCGTGCGACTACGCAATGGACGTATGGTACAGTTCTCAGTGCAGCATCGCAGAACGTCCGCCAATCGTAGGCTGACATCCCTACACCAAGTAGACTGGCCATTACGCCGGGACTCCACACAGGCTGTTGTGATTTGAACGGGAGAATGCCGACCATCGAACTATTTCCCGCCTATTTAGCTCACTCAGCCCCGCGCTCAGTTCGCAGCACATGAATGAACTCCAGTCCATGCATCACATATGTATGATCTCTTTGAGCGCCCGAAACCAAGTATGCATACGTAACTATCGCATCCTTACAATCCATCTACCGTCTGAGAATACATAGTAACCCTTCGTGATCTAGAACCACAGGAACCCCAATTGGAAACCGACACTGCTCCCCTAGCTGGAACCCAAAACATTTAATTCTATTCGCATGACCGTACTTCTTAGCTTTTCAAATTGGAAGTCCTTTATTTCCTTCAGTTCCAGCGGCCTATCCACAACCTTGTAGGGTCTGGTCGATTTTTGGAACGGCCATTGCCTCGCTTCTTTTTATAGAATAGCCTTAACAAATGCTAACCCCGAGAAGGCGTTATCCTATGGACCCCGAGCACCTTCGCCCCCAATCGGGAGCAACCACTTGCGAAGAGAATAAAAATTTTCCCTAAGGAACACAATTTTTACCGTATCAAAAAAAACTCAACTTTGGATATAGGACCCTGGAAA